CCCAATTGATTGGCTTAAAAATTACTTCATGCCTTATAATGTCTATATCTGATCGCTACACATGATACATGCACTTACAATAATCATTCAAAACAATTTCTTGATAACAAGAACTACCTTTCATAAATTGTTCCTCAAACAAAAAGTATATCTCAATAGTATATACCTCTCTAGCATGTGAAAGAAGTTTCACATGATCCATCATCATGGCAGGTACTCCTTGAGAACACCGAAAATCTTCACCATTTTCCTTACTTCTCCATTCGGAAATAACACTAACAAAGGATGAATAAAAATCACAAAGACCAACCGTCTTTGATAACCTTCTAGAAATTGAATGATTCGTAGTTTCACTCCTTTGAGAAGATAAAATGCCCCTGGAAAAATAATACTTGTTAAATGTTGGACACCAATTCTCCCTACAATCATAATGCTTCTCTAGTCAACTATTCTTATGACACTTATACTCTGTCACCATCCTGAAAGTTACAAGACACGTTTACTAAGCTTATATGAAACAAAACAACAATATCAAAAAAACAAAATACTGTATATTCATAATTTCTATACTGAATATCCATAATTTTTATGTTGTAGATCCATAATATATAAACTGCATATTAATAATTCTTATCCTCTTAAATACACAATATAAATGACTAAAAAGTCCAAACAGGATACTGTACATTCATAATATCTATATAGAATATCCATAATTTCTATGCTGCAGATTCATAACTTCTAAACTGTATATTCATAATTCTTACCCTCTTAAATACACAATATAAATGACTAAATGTCCAAACAGGATACTGTACCCAATGAAAACAGTAAATAATAACATACCTTGTCCAATAAAATCCAAACTCAGCTTTAGTCTCGTTGTATTTCAACACACAGTTGAACATATCCTAAAAAATCTTTATGATTCCTTAACGCCTTGATATGCTTCTTTGAATTCTCGCCAATATGCCATATGCAAAGACGGTGGCGTGATGTAGGGAATACAATAGAAATGGCAGCAGCCATAGCTCCACATTGATCTGTCATGATAGACTGTGACACTTGCCATCAATCAAAGAATTGGAATCGGTTCCATCCAAACACTTCAAACTCTCACAAGCCATCGAATTCTAAGCATCCCGGTTGGTGAAAACAACCAATGGAGACCCCCCTGACTGATGTTTCAAAAACCTCATACCATCCGCCAATGCAACCCCACTCTTCTTCATATCTTTTAAATATTCAAGATGATTATTTCTCACTCTTCTATGTGAACGGAGTAGATGAATCTTGCCAAAAGAACATAACTCATGATTGTGCTCTTTCACATGTTTTGTAACTGTCCACATCCCATCCCCACCCACATCAAACTGAACAAGTGCACCACAACCGGTCCAAACCTTGACACCACTATTTGGTTTCTCCTTATAACCAGTCTTAGCACAGAAGAACCTCTTCATCTGAATTGACTTAGTAGATGCCTTATAACGTTGTTGACATTTCCTCACACTAAAACCAACTCTGTATGCATATCCATTATATAACTCATAAGCTTCATCACTATTACTTACTACAACACCAACCAAATCTTCATCAACTGCAATTGCAAAATATATATATATATATATATATATATATATATATATATATATATATATATATATATATATATATATATATAACCACAACTATAACAACGATTGACTTTTGACCAGCAATATCACCAAAAGAATAAAAATTCCAGAAATATATAGGACAGAACAAGTCTGCACATTGTGAATGTATAGTTCAACTATTATGAATATATAGCTCAAATATTATGAATGTACATCTCAAATATTATGAATGTACATCTCAAATATTATGAATCACACATTCAATGGTTTTAACACACATCACACATGAAAGACATAATACTACCAGTAACCACATTCACATTAAAAGCTAAGAAAAAAACCTAGACTTGAAGAGGAGCCATCAATGTCAATGTTTACATCTGCTTGATCAGTAGACAGTACTTAATGAATCACCAACAAAATCTCCATTCACTGAATATATGAAAACAGAGGAACATAGCAATTAATATGTTATGAACATAGAACTATCAAATTATAAACATCCATACCACATGCAGAAACAGAGTATCAATAACAGTTCACATAATTCATAATCGCATAACAGAAAATTCATAATTTCATAACAGAAAATTCATAATCTCATAATAGAAAATTCATAATCTCATAACAGAAAATTCATAATCTCATAACTGTAAATTCATAACAGAAACGGAGTATTAATAAGAGTTGCGACATTATGGACATTCAAACTGTAAATCAAGTACATTGGCAATAATCACCATGAATCACAAAATCCTACAAACACACATTGAATAAATTATAATGCTCACACCACAATCTCGCAATAACAAACACAAATATACATTCTAATTCAATTTCAAGCTTCTAAAATCTCAAACTAACATAAAAAATCACATAAACCAAATGCAAAAATCGTAGAAATCGAATGCAAAAAACCTGAAATCGTACTCAAACCATCACCGATTAAATCTTCTCCCCGATCCGATGTCTCCTCCATCGACGAATTCAAATCAAGCAATCGCGAATGGAAGAAAAGAATTGTGAATAACGAATTCAACTGCGAAAACGCGAATGGAAGCAAAGAATTGAATAGTAATTTGAAACTGCCAAAAACGAGAATGGAAACTGCCTCCAGAATCGCGACAAACGTCGTTAATAGCACAGTAATTAATTTTTTTTTTAAAATATGACGCCGGTAAAACGATGCCGTTTAGGAACGTGTTCACAAAGCATTGTGAACACGTTTCCACGGCATAATTTGCGTATATACGGATACAGAGACAGTAAACACAAAGCGCTAAAGCAAAATTAGAAGCCGAACTCCAAAAAAAAAAAAAAAAAAAAAAAAAAAAAAAAAAAAAAGCCAAATTAAGTATAATTTAGTCAATTTTGCGCAGGCAGGTGGTTCTTCCTCTATTTTTGGAGAGTAACTTTTGTCCCCTCGTGATTGTATTTCGGTTTTGTTTTAATATAATCTTCTCGTTGGTTTTCAGAAGAGTAATTAAAAATTTACAACCAATAATAATATATAAATATATAAAATAAAATCTTTGAAATCTCATTTTATTTATTTAATTATTTTCACATATCATCTTGAACCTTTCAAATCTTATTTTTGTATATAATTAAAGTTGTTGGTTTTCGTAATGGGGTGGCAATAATTATTTCTTGAAGTTGTGACTTAGTTGTCCTCCATCATCCGATTTAGATGTACTTGGCTTTGGATGAACACATGCAGATTAAAATAAAAGTTTATAAAACTATATATATAGAGAGAGATTTGCGCGGTAAGATTCCCGCTTAACATTAAACAATATATACATGTTGTCATTATCTAACATTAATCTTTACAAGTTGCAGAGTTTTTAACATAAAATACTGCCCTCTTGCAATTAAAAATGCTTTTCGTCTTGCAATTATGGCACTTAGAGCCATAAGGCAATTCCCAGTTGATGATTGTTAACGTATATATTCTAACGAATATATTCTAACATATATTTAGCTTTGTATTTTTGGTTGATTATTATCCTCATTAATTGTCTTTGATTTTCTTTTCTTTCCTTTTCTTTATCTTACAATTTGTATATATAGGAGTTCATCCTTTATAATTGATTCAAGAGATATATACACACAATTCATACTATTTGTAACATGGTATCATAGTCTTTAATTATTTTTTTTCCTTCTGTTCTTGACACTGCCGACCGGAGCTCCCTGTCTTCAGCGTACGTATTCGAAGCCGCGACCTGCAGTGTCCAGCGTACGGAGTCATTGAAAATCTTCTCTTTCTCCGTGAGTCTCCTTCCAATCTGTTGTGCCGTACTGATTCTCCGTTGTGCCGTACGTGATTCTCCGTTGTGCCGTACGTGATTCTCCGTTGTGATTTGTGGAGTCCAACACGTTCCAGCAGAGTTCTGTGATTCTTTGATGTTCAGTTCCAGAAGAGTGACGCCAAGGGGAGACCAAGAGAGGATAGAGGCTACAGAGTTTGTCCTCTCTGCCAACTTGTTATAATAATTTACTTTTCTGGTTATTATTTTTTCCTCTCCGATTTATTGTTTGCTTGGAAAATTTGGTTTTTCGTCATCTCTCCGGTTTAAAGTTTGCTTGGAACAATTGTTCATTTTGGTTCTTCCCTCTTTTCTATGGATAAAGTTGAGGTCTCCCGTCCTATTGGAACGATTTTGGATGGTACCAATTATACCCTATGGTCTCAACGCATGAAGAGTTTTTTGATTGGACGCAAGTTTTGGCGTATTGTTACAGGTGATATTGTGGAACCAACTCAGAATGTTGGAGTTGAAGATGATGATGAATATGTTGACCGCCTTGAAGATTGGGATAGTAAAAATCATCAAATCATTACTTGGTTTTCTAATACCTCTATTCCATCCATCCATATACAATTTGCAAAATTTGATACGGCAAAACAAATATGGGATTTTTTGTCTAATCGATACAAAACAACAGGGCTTGCACACTATTATCAATTGCTCACCACTCTCAACAATCTTAGACAAGACTCGGGGCAATCTGTTAATGATTTTCTTGCAACCATTCAACCTATCTGTTAATGATGATCACCTTCATTTGATTCAAGTTCTTATGGCTCTTCGTCCTGAATATGAATCTGTCTGTGCCGCTCTCTTACATCGTCATCCATTACCGACTTTGGATGGTGCAATTAAAGAACTTCTTTTTGAGGAGACCCGCTTGGGTTTAATTAAACCTTCTTCGACAGATGTTGCTCTTGCTATTACTCCATCACACTCCATACCTAACTCTCGATTTTGTAAGAATTGTCGCTCTACTGAACATATTTTCTCTGCTTGTCCTACTGTTGAGTGCAGGTATTGTCATGGACGTGGCCATATCCTAGAAAATTGTCCAACTATGATAATTACTATACGCACACACTTATTAAGTGAGAAGAAGATCAGATTAGATCAGATCAGAGAGAAAATTCAATTCAATGGCTTGTGTCGCTGTAAACTCTCTTGTGAGAACTATTGAGCTTGAGTTCTTGCAACCTCAACCTCGTCCAATCGTACTACAATATGGACTTATCCCTGGCAATGAAAACTTGCTCCAATGTCTCCACCAGAAGCTTGGTTTCCTGATAGAGCTGTTCGATGAGAACAGAATGGATGGTATTCAAGCCATTAAAGACTTGGAAGCTAAGCTCAGAGATGTGGCTTTTCAAGTGGAAGATAAAATTGAATTCCAAATCTTACATCTTTATGATGCAGAAGAAGACTTGGGAATTGCAGATCTTTTTGGGGAGAAACCACAAGGGGAAACATGGTATTCATTCAAACTTGGTTGCATTTCGGAAGAAGCAATAAGAGATATTGATGCCATCCACAAAGAGTTGTCCAAAGTGAAGATGGAGTACGAGCGTGTGAAAGCCTCGCATGGAAGGAAAACAAGTACACTTGCAGCAGCTTCGACCAGATATGATGGAGTTGTCATGATGGGGGATTCTTCCCAATACGCTTCACACTCCCAGCCACAGGACAATATAATGGTGGGGAAAAACAATGAGTTCCAGATTGTAAAGGGGATGTTAATTGAGCATTCATCAAAGCAACGGGAAATTGTCTCCATCAAAGGTATGGGAGGCATTGGCAAAACAACGTTAGCCAGACGAGTTTATGAAGATTCATCAATTGCCTCCCACTTTGACAAACGAGCTTGGGTTGTTGCATTACAGTATCATAATAAATTACAAATGCTAACAGATCTTCTTAAATCAATAGGTTGTGCAGTGGATAGTTTCACTGGAGAGGATCAGCTAGCTGAACAGCTATACCAAAATCTGATGCATCAAAGATACTTTGTTGTGATAGATGACATTTGGAGCGTTGATGCATGGAATTCTGTCAAAGCTTCCTTTCCTGATAATGCAAATGGTAGTCGAGTATTGTTGACTACTCGCTCTGCACATGTGGCTACTAGTATTAGCTCTAACAATAACTTTTCTCATCAAAAGCAATTGTTAGATCAAACTGAGAGTTGGAATTTATTTTGCGAAAAGGCAAGCAAATCTGGCTATGCTGAGTTTGAAGCGATTGGGAGACCCATTGTTGAGAAATGCAAAGAATTGGCTTTGGCAATTGTTGTGGCTGCAGGTTTATTTTCCAAACTTCATACACTAGATGAGTGGAAGAATGTCGCAGAAGCTCTAAATTCATCTGCAACAACAACAATTGATGAAGAATGCTCAAGGATACTCTTATCCAGTTACAATCACTTGCCTCACAGTTTGAAGGCTTGTTTTTTATATTTGAGCGTATTTTCAGAAGATGAAGAGATCCAAGTTAAGGAAATTGTAAAGTTGTGGGTTGCCGAAGGACTCCTAAAGGCATATGTGGATATGAGCTTTGATGCGGTGGCTAGAAGGTACATTCAAGAATTCAAGGATAGGAACCTAATTCTTGTAAAGCAACAAAGTATTTGTGGAAGAAAAGTAAAGGCATTTGGAATGCACGATTTGGTGCATTCTTTTTGTGTGAGGGAAGCTAAAAAGGAAAACCTTCTGCATGTTGTCTATGAGAATGAGTCCAATTCCCCTCCTAAATATTTCCGATGGGTAAGCATCCAATCAGAATGGTTTAACAGACAAACATTATATTCTTCTTTAAAAAACTGTCGATCCATCTTCGTTTTTTACAGATTACATATATTTATAAATTCAAAATTTTGCAGTCTATTAAGAGTACTCTATAATCATATTCACTGTGATATGGTGTATCTTGTCCATTTGAGATGCCTATTGTCATCGTTGCGAGTTTTAACCATTTCAGACGATCCATTTTGTAGTTGGAATCTTCAAACACTTTCAGCTTATACTATTGATAAAATGAGCTTTTTAGAGTTCCCACAACTACAACATTTGCGTTGTTTTAACCCTCTGAGTGATATTCCCATATTTTTTCATCAAAACTTGAAGAGCATTAGTGTGTTAATTCCTGATCAATGCACAAAAGAATTGTTTACAAATATTCCATACCTAAAGAAGGTAGAGATTCTATGTTGTGAAGATGGTTGGAGTGATGAATGCATTAATAACCTTGCCTATTCACACCAGCTCCAGAGTCTACATCTTCGTGGTCATTTCGGCTTTCCGTCTGTGATTCCAAATATTAACTGCCTTGTTTGCTTGAAAAACCTTATAAGGTTGAGGTTTACGGAGTTGACATTTGAGTGGAAGGCAATTAATATTCTTAGCAAGTTGCCTAAACTTGAGGTGCTAAGGTTAAACAGTTGTGAGTGCATTGGTACAGAGTGGGAACTATTGGAGAAGGAGAATTTTGAGCAGTTAATTTATTTGGAAATTTCTCTCAGTTATCTAAAACATTGGGAAGCAAGTGCCTGTCATTTTCCAAATCTCGAGCACCTAGTCATTAAATGGTGTCCTCAATTGGCGAAGATCCCAACTGACTTTGCAGAAATTCTAGACTTGAAGTCAATCAAATTGATTGATTGTCGTCTTTCTGCGGTGAATTCTGCAAAGAAAATTCAAGAAGAGCAACGTGAATTTGGAAATGATAATATGGTTGTCATTGAGGAATATACTATACTGGTCAGTCTCTCTCCAGTATTCTTTCTCTATTGCCTTTTTTTTATTTCACTCCCCTTTTTCTCCAAACTTGATTTAGTTTCACCATGTCCTAATAATTTCTTTTCAATGATTCATAGCAGCCTCACTACAGCTCTGTTGATGATGATGAATAAAAGCAAAAAAAAGGTATGTTTACAGTCTACCTATATATATATATATATATATATATATATATATATATATATATATATATTACAGCAAAAAGATTGATTGAAAGGCATCTGAGTGTGTGATATTTGGGCATTTGAATTCTTCCAATATGTATGTGTAATTGTATCCTCAGTTTCTCAGACAATATTTTTTTATGAACTTTTCTTAAATAGCTTTCTTTTTTATATTTGCTATGACAGCATATTATATGACACAACTGCCTTCTGTCTATATAGTGTTACACATTCTCTGTTTGATCAAAATATATTTTTCATATATAGTCATTTGAATTTCAGTGATCTTGAACACGTAAATGTCTCTTTTCCTGCAAATGAGTGTTCAAATGATAAGAGATTTTTGTCAAGTATCAAATTATAGTATACGGAATTAGATATCGTTTTACTGAGAATTTCAATCATGACATGTATTTAAGTTAATCTGAAATTCCTAAGAATGATTTGTAGATTTTTGTCAAGAGTGGAGTGCTAACCAGGTTGAATTTTTTGCTAACTCATTATATATGTTTTTCCTGGCAGCAAGGTGATCTGACATACAGCTCCCACACTCTTAAGCTCCAATTCAATGGCTACTCAATCTTGGACGCCGCCACCCTAGCTTGTAAAATGCAACGCTTTTCATTGTTAATGATTCGGCTGGGTTGAATCGGGTAGTACAGTCTCCGTCATAAATATGCATGGGCACTTTAATTTGTTGTAACCTGTAATGGGAAGTTTTCTTAGAACCGTGATCTGGGTACGATTAAGCCAAAACTATTGCTTGCTGCGAGGCTTTATCAGGGCTTAAATGGAGATGTATTAATAACGTCATCCTAGAGCTCAGATACACAATTTTAACTTTTGTTAATGTTTCTCATGATTATTTTTATTCAGGTTTAGTTATTGACCACTTTAGATTCTACTACTGGGAACATTTTAATTCTGTCATGTTCGTAAATCAACAAATCATTATGCTCATGTTTTGACTCTAGTAGTGTCCTCGACCCCCTGGTTGACTGCGGGGTGGCAGGGGTTGATGTTCGGGGCTGGTAATCAAGCAGCTAGATGGGCAGGCCCCATTCTTCCGGGACGAAGGTCGGGTCCCGAGCAAGCAGGACAAGATAGATACACCTTCCCCTCTTTGGAGGCCAACAACTTTTCTGCTAGCTCCTTCAGCTGCCAGTCTGCTTCCGCCATAGCATCCTCTCGGAAGAGGAAGATGAAGTGGAAGAGGAAGAGGAAGAGGAAGAGGAAGAGTTATTAGCAGCAATAGCAGGTCTTTTTGAGGAAAAACCACAGAGGACTAATGATGCTGAAGAAGAAGAAGAAGAAGACTTGGGAATTGCATATCTTTTTGGGGAGAAACCACAAGGGGAAACTTGGCATTCATTCAAACTTGGTTGTATTTTGGAAGGAGCAATAAGAGACATTGATGCCATCCACAAAGAGTTGTCCAAAGTGAAGTTGGAGTATGTCGCAGCCGCCTTGCAAGAAATTGGAAGGAAAACAACTACAATACTTACCGCAGCTGCAGCTTCTACCACATCTAGTGATGGAGGAGTTGATGTTATGATGATGGCGGGGGATTCCTCCCAACACGCTTTACACTCCCAGCCCCTGCACAGCAGCATAAATATGGTGGGGAAAAACAATGAGTTCCACACTGTAAAGGCGAATCTAGTTCAGCACTCATCCAGGCAACGAGAAATTGTCTCCATCAAGGTATGGGAGGTATCGGCAAGACAATGTTAGCCAGAAGAGTTTATGAAGATTCATCAATTGCCTTCCACTTTGACAAGAGAGCTTGGGTTGTTGCATCACAATATCATAATAAGTTACAAATGCTCACAGATCTTCTTAAATCAATGGGGGTTGTAGTGGATAGCAGCACTCAAGAGGATCAGCTAGCTGAACAACTATACCAAAATCTGTTGCATCAAAGATACTTTGTTGTGATAGATGACATTTGGAGTGTTGATGCGTGGGATTTTATCAAAGCTTGCTTTCCAGATAATGCAATTGGCAGTCGAGTACTGTTGACTACTCGCTTTGCAAAGGTAGCTACTAGTATCGGCTCAAATAATGACTTTTCTCTTCAAGCACAATTGTTAGATCAAACCGAGAGTTGGAATTTATTCCGTGAAAATGCAAGCAAATCTCTGGGTTCAGAATTCGATATGATTGGGAGACAAATTGTTGAGAAATGCAAAGGATTGCCTTTGGCAATTGTTGTTGCTGCAGGTTTAATTTCCAAACTTCATAGATAGATGAGTGGAAGAATGTCGCAGAAGCTCTAAATTCATCTGCAACAACAACAATTGATGAAGAATGCTCAAGGATACTCTCATCAAGTTACAATCACTTGCCTCACAGTTTGAAGGCTTGTTTTTTATATTTGAGTATTTTCCCAGAAGATGAAGAGATCCATGTTAAAGAAATTGTAAAGTTATGGGTTGCCGAAGGACTTGTAAAGGCATCCAAGGATATGAGCTTTGATGTGGTGGCTAGATGGCATATTCAAGAACTCAAAGATAGGAACCTAATTCTCATAAGTCGGCCAAGTAGATGTGGAAGAAAAATAAAGGCATTTAGAATGCATGATTTATTGCATTCTTTTTGTGTGAGGGAAGCTAAAAAAGAAAACCTTCTGTTTGTTGTATATGAAAGTGGGTCCGATTCCCTTAAGAAAGATTTCCAATGGGTAAGCATCCAATCAAGAAGGTTAAAGGAAGAAACATTATATTCTTCTTTAAAAAACTGTCGGTCCATCTTCTTTTTTTCCAAATGGAATATATCTTTAAATTCAAAAATTAGCCCCGTATTAAGAGTACTCTATGGTGCTGAGTGTGAGATTGCTTATCTTGTCCATTTGAGATGCGGATTAAACCAAAAAGAGGGTTGTTTGGTGTCCTTGCGTACCATTTTAGGTCCATTTCGTAGTTGGAATCTTCAAACACTTTCAGTTGGTCGTATTGATGAAATGAGCTTTTTAGAGTTTCCACACCTACAACATTTGCATTGTTTCAGTTTAAGAGGTCTGAGTGATTTTCCCATATTTTTTCATCAAAACTTGAAGAGCATTCGTGGGTTGTTTCCTGATCAATGCACAGAAGAATTATTTACAAATATTCCATACCTAAAGAAGGTAGATATTTTATGTAGAGTTCATCGTTGGAGTGATGATTGCATTAGTAACCTTGCCTATACACACCAGCTCCAGAGTCTGCATCTTCGTGGTACAGTAAATGGGTGTCCGTTTCTGATTCCAAATAATAACTACCTTGTTTGCTTGAAAAACCTTACGAGATTGAGGTTTACATACTTGACATTTGAGTGGAAGGCAATTAATATTCTTAGCAAGTTACCTAAACTTGAGGTGCGAAGGCTAATCTGTTGTAACTGCATTGGTAAAGAGTGGAAACTGTTGGAGAAGGAGAATTTCGACCACTTAATTTATTTAGAAATTGTTGACATTGATCTAAAGCATTGGGAAGCAAGTGCCTGTCATTTCCCAAATCTTGAGCGCTTAGTCCTTGAACGGTGTCGTCAATTGGTAAAGATCCCAGCTGACTTTGCAGAAATTCTAAACTTGAAGTCAATCAAATTGATTAAGTGTCATTGTTTTGCGGTGGATTCTGCAAAGGAAATTCAAGAAGAGCAACATGAGTATGGAAATGATAATATGGTTATCATTGAGGAATTAACTGTAACAGTTAGTGTCTCTCCGACCAGTATTCTTTCTTTATTGCCTTTTTTATTTCACTCCCCTTTTTCTCCAAACTTGATTTAGTTTCACCATGTCCTAATAATTTGTTTTTAATGATTCATGACACAGCCTCGCAACTACATGTATGATGTTGATGATGATGATGATAATGATTATAATGATGATGACGACGACGAAGAAGAACTTGAGCTATATAGTTGAATAAAAGCAAAAAAAAAAAAAAAGAGGTATGTTTACAGTCTATATATATATATATATATATATATATATATATATCGTGAAAGGTTCAGGTGCGGGTATAGGCTTCCCATGCAGTTGTATGGTGCACCTTAAGTACACAAACCACACATCTTAAGCACACAAACAAAGCACCTTAAGAACATAAACCACTCACCTTAGGTACACAAACCACGCACCTTAAGCACACAACAAAGCACCTTAAGAACACGTACAAACCACGCTCCTAAGGTTTTAAAATGACTCACCTTAAGTTTCACACAAACTGACGCACCTTAAGCATACAAATCGCGCACCTTAAGAAGGAAAACCACGCACCTTAAAGAAGAAAAATCATGCACCTTAAGTTTCAACAACTACTCACATTAAGCACAAAACCCACGCAACTTAAGCACAAACCCATGTACGCACATTAAGCACAAAAACCATGCACCTTAAGTTTCAACAACCACTCACATTAAGCACACAACTCACGCACCTTAAGCACAAAACCCACACACCTTAAGCACAAAAATCACGCACTTTAAGAAGGAAAACCACGCACCTAGATGCAAAAATTACCAAATTACCATCGCGTTTTTATTTATTTATTTATTTTGGTAATCCTGAATGTTGATTTAAGCAAAATCGCTCAACCGCTTTTGAACCTAATTATATATATATATATATATTTGGATCCGGTGAAGTCACTATTGTTTGGTGAGGTCGTGAGGCTCAATCTGGTTCGTTTATTAATATTATTGTACGGTTCAGATTTGCACATTGAATATCCCACGCGCTATGTCTGTATTTGAGTTAGGGGGTATGTTTGTCTTTTGTTTATATTGTTATTATGGTATAAGGATAAGGATTTGATTAGCCGATTTTATGGGTTTGTGCGCGATATTTATGGTCTTAAATCACTTTCAATATTTATTCCAGTCTCTTTAGCTTCCGCCGTTTATTTCTCTTTCTTGCTTCCCCGGTATTCACGCTAGCAGCGCTCGTGTGCATCTCGGCCGTCCGTTTCTTCTCCGACCATTGACGCTTGTTAATCCGTTTCCTGTGCCGGTCTGTCACTGTCAACAATGGCGGGTTCAACAATCACTCGTTCCAAGTGGCAGAGGTCATCTTCTTCCGTGTCCCATTTAGGTATTTTTGAGTCACCGATACTTTTAGTTTCGTTGATTCGGTTATTTGTCGGGTTTGTACCTTTCTTGTACGTTTTCCGGAATGATGATGAAACTCATCACACGTTTTCTTGTTTCTGACAAACACTATTAATATTAATAGTTAATAGTTATTAATACTTCTTTCATTCCCAATAAACAAATTTACAGGAATAACGTTTTGGGTAGTGTTTGAATCTGCGGTTTTCGATCTTGGTGCGATGTGTTGTACGGGAAATGGGAATCGGATGTGCATATACTTTGGGCGGATTGAGTTTCTATATATTTTATTCCAGGTGGGGTTTTTTGGTTTTTTTTTTTTTGGTGCCTTAGGAACATTGGTTGTGTTTTCTTGGGCCTATGAAAATTGAAGAACATAGGATGATGTTCGTAATACCCATGTATGTAGTAGCCTGTCTACTATGAAGCTGTCAGATTTTTATTTATTTCCAGATTTAATTTGCAACTCTTTCTCTCTTTTGGTTTTGGGCTTCCTTAATTACAACTACTTTGTTATTTATCTGACTGTTTTTCCTCATATTTATTGGTTTCCTCTTCCTAACACCTTCCCTTTCTTGCATCATCATTTTTTCTGGGTATAATAAGAATTAGGCGGCTTTGCAGACATCTCGTAGTTTAGTGTTCAAAGTAGGTGCTCAATAGTGTTGATTTGTTGTTGCCTTGTTACATTAAAGGAATTGTAATATATGAATGTATAAATGTGTATTTGATGGTAAACTGCATTCTTAATTAATCACAAACTGAACTTCCTGAAAT